CTGACATGTGACTGTCCCTGATCAGACTTTTGAGGAAGGTAAGATGATGGTGATGGTGATGGTGATGGTGATGGTGATGGTGATGGTGATGGTGATGATGGTAGTGATGATGACATAGTGTTCTTTCAAAAATGTGCAAATCCTACCAGTGCAGTCTTCTTGGGAAGCAATATTGTCCTGGCAAAGTGGGGGTCAGAAGGCTTCCTAGGTCTCTCTTGGTCTGGGGAGTAGGGAAGGCACCTTTAAGGAGATGAATGAGTGGAACCGTGATTCAGGCATGCAGGGCAGCAATGTAGGGTGCAGTGGATCTTTTGAGCATGACAGTTTCACTCGGGCCAAGATCAGTGCTGAGCAAATAGGTTACTGATTGTGTGGGGTCTGGAGAAGCCATCATTACCCTTCTTGTTCTTGAGAGCCAGGCCTACCTGCCCTGACTATCCCACCTCAACTATAACCCACACCCTTCCCAGGTCACTCTAAGCCCCCTTAGTCCGCTCTACTTTCTTTGCCATGGTTTGTATCACTTTCTGACTTGCTCTATTATTGTGGGGTTGCATCAGTATTTTGTTGGCTGCCCCTCCCCCGGCCACACACACACACACACACACACACACACACAATTACAATATGCATCAGCCACAGGAGGACAGGGAACTTATCGTGCTCACTGAACTACCCCAGAACCTAAAACAGTACCTGCCACACAAAAGTGTTCACAATATTTATGAATGAGTAGCAGCTATAGCGTTTCCCACCTTGCTGACCTGTCCCTGCTGGTGGTGCACACCATGCACACCATTATCTGTTGGGTAATTGCTTAGGAGAAGCTCTCCATGCAGCTTTTCCTGCATAGACACAGACTCAGCCCTCCTGGACAGACACGGTGCTCCCTCTGCCATTGATTAGAACCAGTTGGAGTCTTTTTTTTAAATTTCATGATTGATTGAGGTATTACATATGTGTCCTCATCCCCTCATTACCCCCCAACTCCCCCACTCGTGCCCTCACCCCCCTGTTGTCTGTGTCCATTGGTTAGGCTTATATGCATGCATACAAGTCCTTTGGTTAATCTCTCCCCTTACCCCCACCCTCCCCTACCTTCCCTATGAGATTTGACAGTCTGATCGATGCTTCTCTGTCTCTGAATCTGTTTTTGTTCATCAGTTTATGTTGTTCATTATATTCCATAAATGAGTGAGATCATGTGATATTTATCTTGCCTATAACAGGATTGAGCACTGATTTCAGGAAAGTAAGAAAATTACCAAAATGTAGTCATCAATCTATCTTCACCTTGGTGGCACATTGACAAGCATTATAAACCAGGACTTGCAAAGTAAATGCAAATTTTTAGACCTCTCATCTCTGTCCACAGGACCCAAATCTGGCAGAATTGGTATCACCATTGAGCTATTACAACTGGACGATGAACTCTTCTGTCCACAGATTTCCTCTGAATCCACAGGTAACCCAGCTATTGGAGCTGCCTGGCAATTCATCCTGGGCCTCAGCTTCAGAAAGGCCATCTAAACAAATTCCATCTGCTTAAACCAGTGGCAGCAATTACAGCTACTACCCCTATGCACCACGCCACGGCCCTGCCAAAGAACTCACCCCACTCCAGCAACAGTCACACGCAGCATTGCTCCTCAAAGCTGAGCAAGCCTTAGAGAATCTGAGAGACTGAGAAATAGCCAAAGTATTATATGTGGCTGACAGAACCTACACTTGACCCTACACCCCCTAAGTGTCTCTGACTTCAACCTATTGCTCCCAACCATTCCACTCGCCACCAGCTCTGACTTCTGGAGCAAATTATCAATAGAAATGTAGACAACTGGTGATTCCTAGATCCACAGCACCTGAATTCACCAATCAGTCTTAATACCATTAAAAGTGACATGGAAAGACATTATTGCTTCCCACTATTAGGCAATAGGAAGTACATAGCATTCTCATAAAATATTCTTGCCAAAAAACTTTTAAAAAAACCTGAGTTTAATTGAACCTTAGACATAAACACCAGTTTACAGGAAACATGGAAGATAAAAGAGTTGTTCATTGAGCAACTGTTCAGCTAAATCCAAACAGAACTCACTCTGTAGGACAATGCCCCCGTGGCTTCAACAAATAAATTCACAAAAACTCGAAGAACTACTACAGATTAAAAGAGACCTAAGAGACACATCACCCAAGTGCAATGTGAAACCTTATCTGGATCCTGAATCCAGAAAAATACTTGTAAAAAAAATAGTTTTGATGTAAATTTTTATGTAAATACCTATTAAACTATTAATTGGTATTGTATTGAGTGTGAAAATAACAATGATGGTGTTATTTCAAAAACATTTCCTGTTAGAGCTAGATACTGAAGTATTTATGCATCAAATGGTATGGTATCTAGAATTTGCTTCAAAGCAAACAAAAGAGTAAGAGGTAGATGAAATAAGAATGACTGAGTGTTGATAATTATTGCAGCTAGGAGATGAATAAATGAGGTTCAGTACACAGTTTGTTCTATTTCTCTATATGTTTCATATTTTCATAATAAATTTAAACCTGAAAAGAAGTGATGATGTTGGGGTATAGAATTTTTAATCCCAAAGCAGTATCATGCTCAATGTGGAAATAGTCGAGATTTTTCTTTAAAAAGCCTTCCCATTACAGGAGATAAAGTTACCAACTTAGAAAAGCCCCGTGGTTATTAACACAGTGAGGTGCTCCCCAGGAATATACCACAGAAGCCAAACGGGAAATGATTAAAAGATAAAACCATGCACATTTAAGAAATAATATATATTTTTAAGTTATTAGAAAAACATTTAAAAGCATGTGATGAAATGGGAAAATTTTTGCAAAGTACATGTCATAAAAAGCTTAGCCTTATCATTAAATTTAAAAATTCTTGTAAATCTATAAGAAAAAATAATACTCTGCCCAAATGAGCAAAAGATATGAGCAGAAAGTTTGAGGGAAAAGGGGAAAAGGTGTCCAGATGGTCAATCTGGATAAGGGGAAACAAGAGCCAGGCTCACTGGTAAAAAAATCAGTGAATGTTTAAAAAGCACAGCAAAGTCTACACATCATTGATGAAAACAGCATATTGAACAACATCTGATAGTCCCTGTGTAGACAATAGCTCATCGAGACTGTCTTCGCCTTCACCGCCAGCAGGGCCAGAAATGGGTTCCCACTTCCTATTTACAGGAAGGGAAAGCTGCATGAATGCCCGTCCCAGCAATTCCTCCTGAAGGTAGGTATTCAGGTGCGGCAACTGTGAAAACAGTACGGAGTTTCCTCAAAACTTTAAAAATGGACCTGCCCTATGACCCAGTGATCCCACTTCTGGGAATGTATCCTAAGAACCCCACACCACCAATCAGGAAAAAAATATATGCACCCCTATGTTCATAACAGCATTATTTACAATAGCTAAGATTTGGAAACAGCCCAAGTGCCCATCAGTAGATGAGTGGATAAAAAAAACTGGTGGTGAGTCCTCCAGCTGTGCAGTCAGTGCCGTGGTTCTCCACCAGGTCTGAGATCTAAGCCCCAGCCAACCCAGTCACAGCAGAGATCTAAGGAGCCATGATTCCTCCCTGGCTTCAACGAGCCTCTGGTCCAGCAGACAACAGGCTGTCAGACAAATACAGAACAGAGTGATACTGGGGGACAGGCTTACTAAAGAGGGGACCTGAGGGTCAATGGTCATAAGGGAGATCATTGGGGGTGTGGTGAAGTGAAGGGGTGCCCTGAGGGCAGAAATGGGGCCATGGAGACACTATGTAGTGAGGGAAGGCACTTGCTACCTGGGAAGGGTTCTCTGTGGAAGAACCCCAACCCGCAGATAAACGTCACCTCGTGGCAGCTGCCATGATGTGACAGGGTTACCTGTGATTGGCCCATGTTTATTTCTCTCCCAGGCTCCAAGATCCCAAAAGAGCCCATGCATCTGCCTTCAGTGCCTCTCGGGGCTTAAAAATGTCTAACTCCCAGGCCTGGCCTCTTTCCCTCTAATCACATTCTTAGATTTAATCTTCTCCACCCAGTTGCTGAGCTAATCTCATCTTTCCCAGAGGAGACCCACCCTTTTCCTCCTTCAGAGGGACGGAAGATGGAATCTCTCCCTTTGCCCTCTAGGGTGGCACTGTCTGCCCTCCAGCTTGTCTCCTTTTAAATCATAAATTCACCCAGAGAAGAGTCTTTCCATCTCTCTTCTCTCCAAGGAAAAACACCCATCTGTTACATGGCCCTTGGTCATTCACAGGGTTCCATTAGGATGGCTCAGCCCCACACTGCCCAGCCCTGACCCCTACTTCTCATGGTGATTCTGTCCTGACCTCCCTCAGAGAAGCCTTGTGGTGTGAAGGGCCCCCCACATCCTCAAATGACCACCGCTTGCTCCCTGATCATGAGCTCCATGATCTGCTGTGTCACCTGACATAAAACCTAAGTGACAACTACATGCATGGACACATTTGTTTTTTTCTTGGGAATGCCACCATTGTCTTCTCGCCTGTTTTAACTGTGGATAATTTGGATTACTATAATGTGGCTAAAGATCCCAGCAACCATGCTCTCAGGTTGTGTTTTTTTCCTTTCTAACATCAGGAACCCATTATACCCTTCACTCTCTCACACCAAGTATGATAACTATGTGCCATCCGTCCACCTCAGTCAGTGCCTTTGGAAGGAATCAATGAGCCATTCTTCAACCTTGCCCCTCCCTAACTTTCTCTCTCCTAAACGGATATCTGGGTCAATCAATTGATAGGGAGAAACGCATAAATCCCATTAGGATTATGGGGTTTATACTAGGGGTTCTGATTGGATGTTAGCATTTGAGAAGGTGTATAAAAACCTCAGGCACCAGAGGAGAGATTCAGAGTCCTCCAGCTCTGCAGTCAGTGCGTGGTTCTCCACCAGGTCTGAGATCTGAGCCCCAGCTAACCGGGTCACAGCAGACGTTTCTGCAGGATTCCTTTCTGAGCACCTTGAAGATGAGCATCCGCACGCCACCCACACTCCTGAAGCTGGCAGCAAAGCGCCTGCTGAGGGACCAGGCCTCGGCCATTGCAGCTCTGGAGTACCTGCCCGCTGAGCTCTTCCCATACCTGTTCGTAATGGCCTACCGTGGTGGACGCCACCCCCAGCTACTGAAGGCGTTGGCCCAAGCCTGGCCCTTCACTGTCCTCCCTCTAGGGGTCCTGATGCAGCGTCCCCCTGATCATGCCCCAACCAGGGCCACCGGCTTAAAAGCCATGTTTGACGCGCTTGACGTTCTGCTTGCCCAGGAGGTTCGGCCCAGGAGGTGCAAACTGCGGGTGCTGGATTTAAGGAACACGGGTGCCAACTTCTGGGATATGTGGCTTGGAGTCAGCACCGAGAATTGCTCACCGACAGGACCAGTGACTGTGCATAGCTCCAGCCCCAACATGGAGCATCCCCTGGCTCCCTTGGAGGTGTTCCTAGACCTTAACTTCAATGAGAGAGACCGGGATAAGTTTTCCATGCACATCATCCAATGGGCCCAGCAGAAGAAAGGGTTGCTACACCTATGCTGCAAGGCACTGAGGATTTCTGAGGTGCCCTTCCAGAGGGTCAGGAGGGTCCTGGATAGGGTGAGGCTGGACTGCATCCAGAAGGTGTATGTGAAATGCACCTGGGACCTGACCACCCTGGGGACACTTGCTCTCTACCTGGGTCAGATGAGTAACCTGCAGACACTCTTTCTCCTGGAAGAGTTGGCTGAGGAGGATGAGGAGGAAGAGGATGAAGAACAGGAGGAGGATGGAGAGGAAGAAGAACAACAAGAAGAGGAGCAGGAGTTAGAGGAAGAGGAGTTGGAGAGGGAGGAGCAGGAGCGGGAGGAGGCAGAGGAGCAGGAGTGGGAAAGGCAGGAGCAGGAGGAGCAGCGATCCTTTTCCCAATTCCTCTCTCAGATGCTCAGGCTGCAGCACCTCCGGGCGCTCTACATGCGTTCTCCCTCCTTCCTCCCAGGCCGTCTGGACCAGATGCTCAGGTGCCTGCAGACTCCCTTGGACAAACTCTGCCTAACACATTGCCAGCAGCTGACGCATTCAGACCTGACACACCTGTTCCAGTGCCCGAACCTCAGGCAGCTGAAGATCCTGCATCTATTTGGCCTCAGCCTTGCGGATTTCAGTGAGCCCCTCCGAGCTCTGCTGGAGGCAGTGGCATCCACACTCCAGGACCTGGGTCTGGATAAATGTGGGATGGCGGACTCCCAAGTCGAGGCCATCCTGCCTGCCCTGAGCCGCTGCCACCAGCTCAGATTCTTCAGCATCTCTATGAACAACTTCCCCGTGGCCACCCTGAATAAGCTGCTGCGCCACACAGCCGGGCTGCGCAGTTTAGAGTTCGAGATGTACCCCATCCCCCTGGAGTGTTACAGGACCCAAGGGACTGTCAACTATGAGAGATTTTCCCTGATCCAGGCTGAGCTCACGGGGATACTGAGGGAGTTAGGACAGCCCAGGACCATCCAGCTTGCTACCAGGCATCTTAGACATAGGAAGTTTTATGAGGTGGCGTTTTCATGACATGGAGCCCGTGATGTGCCCCTGTAGTGACCCTGCTCACTGGGTGCACCCAGCAAAGGCTTCTTTCTGGGCCTTTGGAAGCTGAAACCTCTGACCGGGGTGCATTATGCAGGGGGCACTCACGTTTCAGGTTCATGCTCAGTGTGAATGGGGAAAGGGAGGGACCCAGCCTGGGTACAGGATTGCAGGGGCAAAGGTTGGGGAGTTCATGGGACCTCAAAGGCAAAGTGTCCTACAATCAGAAACATGAACCTGATTTGCTTGGGGACGGGGATAGATATTTGGCCTCCAGCTGTATGTGTGGGAGTCAATCCTGGGGAGGATGGTTATAAAGGAATGTTCAGAAATAAAGACAATTTCAAAGGCAAAAAAAAAAAACTGTGGTACATTTATTGACAGTATTATGATGTCCTCCATTTCCCCCCATTTGCCTCCTCCCACCCAGCCTCCATGCCACTCCAGGCCCTCACCACATTGTTTTCTGTGTCCATGGGCTATGCATAGATGCATATATGTTCTTTGGTTAATCTCTTCCTGTCCCTCTCCTCTGAAATTTGTCAGTCCGTTCCATTCATCCATGCCTCTGGACCTATTTTGTTTATCTGGTTTGTTCATTGGGTTCCACCTTTAAGTAAGATCATGTGATATTTCTCTTTTCTTACTGGCTCATTTCGCTTAGCACAATGCTCTACAGGTCCATACCTGTTGTTCATAAAGGGTAAGAGATCCTTCTTTTTACAGCTGCATAGTATTCCATGGTGTGAAAAATAAATAAATAACTATAAAATAAAATGAAAGGGAGGTCCATTGGGGGAGAAAATGTCAGAAAGAGGCTGTTAGGTACAGACAGCTTTCTCGGGCACTACTAGGGCAGGACTCAGAGCTTTCAGCAGTGGCCAGAGGCTTGAATCCTAGTGCTGATCCCACTCCCATGGCTTGGCTTTCTTTTTATCCCACGTGCTGAAGTCCAGAGCTACTGAAAAACTGGAACCCATCTAGAGGACCAAGTGTTTATTTTTGCTGATATGTACAAATCACCTATTAAAAACCTACTTATTCATTGGATACCATTTTGTGCATAAAACTAAGAAAGTAATAAAAATGGTTTTCTTCAGTCACATCACTCTTGAGTCTCAGAATCTTAATATGTAAAGCTAGAAAGCATGCCCATTGGTCAATACTCAAGTTCCAGTTTGCAATGGAAAATGTACCCGTGTATGATCCAGGACATTGTTGAAATAAATGTCTAGGCCCAAGATGGAGCCCATCCTGCAAACCAAGACTTAGATTACTTTTGTGTCTCTGTAAATGCTCCAGTTGACCAGAAACACAGTATATCCAGTCAGCCAGTCCCCAAACACCAAGCCAACTCTGGGCTCTGTACTTATTTCATTATTCCTTCTCGCCCCAAACAAGGTGGGCTATGGCCCCAGCCAATAAGATAGTTCTTGTTTTTATCTTCCTTGTTCTTTATATTTTTATCCTATAAAATTTTCTTGCCTTCAGCCCCATTTTGCAGTTCTCCAAATAAAGACTGTTCACTTCATGAAGTGTTAAATAAAGTTGGTTTGTATCATCTAGATTGCTTTCTTTCATCATTTTTAACAACATGAAGGTAGAGCCAGATTCCCTAAAATGTATTCTTGGAGTTTTCCAGAAGGTTGGTTTTCTCAAGCTTTAGATTGCTGCAGTATTGACCTCATGGGTTAACAGATGGTTGAGAACCCATGAGTTGAGGGGTAACTGTTCAGTTTGCTTCCACCTGCATTTTCCCTGAGGAGAGTGAGTCTATGTGGGAGGCAGCTGCCCAAGTCTCCCAGACTCCAGAGTGCTGGAGTTCTGAGTGCAGTGAAAGGCCCACTACAGTGCAAGGAAGACCAGCCCCACACCTTCATGGAAACCACAGCCTGAAGACCTGGAGCTGCTGGTCCCTGGAGAGAGAGCTCCGCACACAGAGCAGCAGAAGGGGCTCCCCCCCTGACAGGGCCAAAGGTACATGTGTGAAGTAGGTTACTGAAGAGCAGTGGTAAACAAAATTTTAACGAGTCTTTGAGCTGATCTCAATAGTGAATTTTGAGGAAAACTGTGACTTATCCAGATTAAAATCTGAATGGAATGCTGTAATATTTCCAGAAACATGAGGCATTGATTCATCACCCGGAGAGGAAAGACTGATTTTAACTTTCATGACGGGAAGAGAGACTGCTACCCCAACCCCACCCTCCTTTCTTAGAATGGCGCCTAGAAAATCTGGCATTGACATAAAAGGCAAACCAAAGAAAAAATGGTGGATGACAGCTAGAGAAAATACTTTGTCAATAAAATCTCAGTTGGAGTTCTGGGTCCTAGTCCTCAGGGTACATTTCCAATTCAGCTCAGAGAGTGGAATCAGGGATGTATTAACAGGTTAATGAATACTTGGGAAAAGGAGGCACTTGATCCAGAGCAGTGGCTCCTAATGTGGGGAGCATGCCCACAGGGGGGCAATTTGATTTTTAAGGGGAGCGATTCAAGAATAACTTATTAACAGTGAATTTTTTGCATTTCTTATGGTTCTAGGGGCCTCATGTATAGTATATAAATATATATTGTGACATATTTATGCATTTCAGTTCTCTATTTTGTATTTTGAAACTTTATTTGCTAGTTTTTCTTATCACTTCATATTATTATTATTTTTTAACAATTTCTTAGTGATTTCTTCCTCAGTACTTCAACTGAACTTTCGTTCTTTTATTTTTCTCTTTCATGGATGCCATGTTCTTTAGAAACTTGTTTAGACCAATTTAATGGCCTTTTAGGCTTCCTCCATGTGACTAGGAGTTCACTTTTTAAATAATAAGAATTATATGTCACGGGGGGAGGGGGGCATCGGGATTTTAGAGATGCTTAGGTGGGGCATGGCCATAAAAATGTTGGGAACCACTGATCTAGAGAGTCGAGTCTCAACCTGGGTTGCACATTGGAATTCCTGATCCTGGTCTTCACCCTCTCCCCTCGTGCCCCCACCCTGCCCCAGGAATTCTGATCATTAGGCTTGGTGGGAATGATCATTAGGGCAGTGTGGGAATTGGGCTTTTTAATACTCCAGGTGATTCTGCTGGGCAGCCTGGGCTGAGGACCACTGTCCATTGTGACAGCCAGATGAATGGGATCAGAGGTAGGGCTGTTGGATATGCAATTTCTCTATTCCTCACTTCTTCCTGGGTATATTGACAAGTAGTAGCTCACATAACTGTCACCAGGTAAGATAGGATGATCTATGTGAAAGCACTCTGAAAATTCAGAAGCACAATGCAATAGTTATGATGCAGAAATCATCCTCTGTCCAAGCCCACTGAGTGAGTTATTGAACCAAGCACCAGCCAGAACACAGAACACACGAGGGCTAACTGGAGGTCTGAATGCATATTGCTTTACGAAATGGATAATTAGGGGGAAATCTTATAAAATGTCCTCAAAATAATGTGGACTTTTTCCAAAAGCGTGAAAATGAGGTATGTGTCACAGAATGTCCAGGTGTATGAGTGTGCAAGCTGAGGGAAGGAAGAGAGCGGGGAGGGAGGGGAGAGGAGGGAGAAGGGCAGGATTACCTTTGCCCATATGGATTATCCTTCTTCAGGTTAATAAATGCCAAATACAATGTTGAAGGTGTTTTTATTTCCTTCAGAGACCCATTTAAAAATATGTTACTATTGGTTAATGCACAGAACTGATTTTGTTAATATTCGTGTGGATCTAAAGGGTGTCCCAAAATTCACACAAGAAGTAATTTTGATAGAAAACACAGGTTTATAATTAAAAATTGTAAATTTTTTATTGATTCATAAAGTATACAGTATAGGGTTATGTATGGAATAGCATATCGGGTAAATGGCCTCCATGACTTTGCTGGCACATACGCACTCTTTCGTTATTGCCTGAGCAGCCGCATTTTCAAAGAAGAATGGTCTGATGATGCCTCCAGCCCAAAATCCGCACCAAACAGTGACACGTTGTGGATGCATTTGTTTCTCAACAATCACTCATGGATTTTCTGAACCCCAAATGTGACAATTTTGTCGATTAACCAAGCCATCAAGATGAAAATGAGCCTCATCAAAATTCATATACTTTATGAATCAATAAAAATTTACAATTTTTAATTACAAACCTGTGTTTTCTATCAAAATTACTTCTTGCGTGAATTTTGGGACACCCTTTATGTCTAAAAGAGCTAAAAGTTTGAATTTAAGTTCATAATGGCTAAAGGACAGTCATATGGATGGCATAAAATGTTCTTCAAACATGGAATATGGCATGTTAAAACCCTGTGTGTTCACTGAGCAATACTTTGTGTAAGAAGAAAAGCTAAAAATAAAAAGCATCAATTAATATTAGAATAGGATAAGATCGACCTTATAGCCAATGGCTGGAGCAATATTGGAATCTATTTTCCAGAACTAACTAGACCAGTGATGGCGAACCTATGACATGTGTGTCAGGGGTGACACAGGAACTCGTTTTTTTGGTTGATTTTTCTTTGTTAAATGGCATTTAAATATAAAAATAAATATCAAAAATATAAGCTTTTGTTTTACTATGGTTGCAAATATCAAAAAATTTCTATATGTGACACGGCACCAGAGTTAAGTTAGGGTTTTTCAAAATGCTGACATGCCGAGCTCAAAAGGTTCGCCATCACTGATTACTAGACAGTGGTTCTGAAAGAGACTCGAAAGGGGAAATGTGTGTGAATGAGTGTTTGTTAAAGACCTACACACAGCCCTGACCGGTTTGGCTCAGTGGATGGAGCATCGGCCTGTGGACTGAGGGGTCCCAGGTTTGATTCCGGTCAGGGGCATGTGCCTTGGTTGCGGGCACATCCCCAGTAGGGGGTGTTCAGGGGGCAGCTGATCGATGTTTCTAGCTCTCTATCCCTCTCTCTTAAATCAATAAAATATATATTTTTTTAAAAAGTACTTAGTAGAAACTATTTAAAAAAAAAAAAAAAGACCTAC